GAAGAGAAGAAAATTGACTGAAATACCTCTTGAACGAGCTCTATTGAATCTTCAAATATAGAGATTTTTAGGTGCTTTGTGGCAACCCTTCACACTACAATATGCCTCACAAAACTCAAGAAATACAATAGAAGGGAGAGAGAGAAATTTCGAGCTCTAAGGAGTCTTGGACGAAATTTTGTGGCCCTAAGAACTATGCTCGAGCTTGCTATTTATAGACATCAAAAAGTTGCCAGAACGGCCCGTTCCAAAATTGGAACGGCCCATTCTGGATCCGACTATTTTGTGTTAATTTTGTAACTGGAACGGCCCATTCCAGATATGAGTTTGACACATAACTGACTAGGCTGGAACGGTTGTTCTAAACAAGGATTTTTAGGCCTTTTTAATAACTTAGAACGGCCCATTCCAGTTTAGGAACGCCTTGTTCCAACTTAGGAATAACCCTTTCCAATTAAGGTTTTAGTCCTTTTTTAGGAGATTGGAATGGCCCGTTCCAAACTAGGGTTTTAGGCCCATGTTGCAAAATTGAAACGACCTGTTCCAAATTGGGAACGACCCATTCTGGTTTTGCAACAGCCCGTTCCTGGCTACTAAAACCAGCTTGTTTGGGCTTTTAGGCCTTTTGATGTCATGTCCTGTTATTTTCATGCTTGGGGGCTCCATTTCTTTGATGATAGACGTCCATTTCCTTGTTTGTATGCCCCCCGGACGAAATTGGGTGTCTACAAGTGGTTAAGCTTGAAGAGGCTTGTTTAAAGAATACTTAGGTTTAAGCCTGGAGAGACTTGTTTAAAGAATACTTGGATTTAAACCTAGAGAGACTTGTTGAATGAATACTTGGTTTTAGTCAGAATTGGCTTGGTAAAGAATACTTATATCTTATTGAAGATAATGGAACTTAATCTAGTTGGATTGATAACTGGACGCAGTCTCTTGGTTGAAGACAAACCAATATAAAAATACTTGTGTCATTTCATATGTTTTACCACTTCTTCCGCTTACCTTCTAGTACTTTATCTGTTTATCTTTTTTTACTACATCATTGTAAAAAAGCGAGTTTTTGATATACATTATTCAACCCCCTTCTAGTGTGTATCTTTCTCTCCAACAATTATCATGTGTATTAATAGAAACATAATATGTACACATATAATATACACAAATATACCAAGGTATATACACAATTATACTCGTTAGTCAAGTAACTATACAAGACCTACAACGAACAACATAACGAAAGGAGTCATCCCTAACATGACTCGCCACCACCACCACATCCAAGTCAATCCTAACATGCTCTTATATCAAATATGATCATTGTAGTTTAATCACAAGGAAAACACAAGGTAAGTTTGTGAAAATAATTAACATACAACTACAACATCAATATCAACTTAATCAATATAAATGACAACATCAATTCAACTTGTCACCAATACAACTCATACAACTTTTAACATAAAACAATTTAACAACTTCATCTCAACAACATAGTCATCATACAACAATATAAAACTAATGCGTCATCATATATATCAACAATAGAGATCTCCTATAACAAATATGAACAATTTAAGTAACTAGATACTACCGAACCACAATGTATTACCTATCTTAACCATGTCATCTAACAACTCAATTTGACTTATCAAGTTTTGTCACTTATACTAAGAATTTTAGTACTATTGTCAAGGTAGAATAGTTTGAGTATGAGCCTACCATGACATTAGTCTGCAACACTAAGTCACCTATGAGATTAGCTCATTAACTACCCTCCAAGTACCACGTTCCTTAGATACTAAGTTAGAGACTAAGTTCCCAACTTGGTACTTTACTCAATTGGTTACTTTATACATGTATGCCTCGACCTTATCTACATATAGATACCACATAAAACCTAAAGAAGACAACACAAAACTTATCATTCAAAAGTCAACTTACTTATTGAGGGTTTTTCAACACATGGGCTCTCAGAACATTACATCTCATATCCGCACAATGGAATATTTAATTTTTGAAAACCACACTTACCCTCCTCTAATTTTTATATATCTTAATAAAACATGTATCTCAACCACAGTCTAATAGCTTAACAACTTAACAACTTAAGCAACTTAAACGACATCCAACTTTACAACTTAATCAACTTTCAACTTATAACTCACAACATACTCAACTTACAACATTTCACAATATATACAACTTATTCATAAATAATCTTACATCTTAACAACATAATTATCATCATATAATATATCAACTTACAACTTAACAATAAACATATCATTTACATCCAACCTATCATCTTACATTATATAGGTGCATCATTAAAATCATCATTTAACTACAAAACATCTTAAAATAACTCAACTTTCATTATGCAACTTGCGCTTGACACTATTCAAAAGTTGCCTAACACCATTAAGATAGGGAACTCCCTATCTCACCCACACTCGATGTCATCCAACCCGCACCCTATGCAATGCAACCCACGCCAAGCCTGGACTAGGCAAGGATTGTTGGGACCTCGTGCCTAGTGTGACAACAACTCATGCCTGGTCTCACGCTAACCTCAAATGATTTTCTCTCCTCACACTCGACACCATTCAAATCACGTCCGACGCTAGTTCAACCCAAGATAATTTATTCTCCTTATGCTCAACACAATTGATCCTACACTTGGCATGAGGAAGACAAAGTGTCTTTAGAACCATTCTCGATGTGACATCGATTTCTACACACGTCAGAATTGAAAATTTGACCAAAACACCTAAAATTTCAAACATACCAACATGCAACCAAGAACACAAGGATAAGAATTTTCACAAGGATTAGAAGAAGAAAATTTGGTTTAAAGAACTCCTTTTTAACCTCTCTCTAAAATTTTTGAAAATTTGAGTTAAGAAACTCAAACTTAAAAATATTCTTATATACCTTTCTTGAACGCACCCGACTTATCTATAGTTCAACTATCCCATATATTAACTTAATTCTCAAAATTCCCTAGTCCAAAATTCTAATACAACACTACAACAAAAAGCAATTTAATCACTAATATATAAGTTATACAACTAAGACTCAGCGTTACAAAAGTTCACTATTTAATATGAAATGCAGTAATAGGAAAAAAATAGTTTTATACATTCGTATGCAGCAGCTATGCAAAAGGTTTTTTATTTCCGGACCAAAACCTATGCTACGAAATTAAATGTATTTGGACACAAAGAGGTCTACATGCATCAACCATGAAATATAATTTTTAAAAGGAAAGAAAACATGGTGTAAAAAAAAAAAAGAAAGAAAACATGTGTCAGAAAAAGGAAAGGAAACATCATGAAAAATTGAATTATATTCGCAAGAGTGATGTTATTTCCTCCGAAAATTACAACTGAAATATCTTTTAAATACATAATGAAATTTTTATTATATTTAAATTATTAATTTATATATAATGTCGGAATATATTTCCGACAATCTTTTTGGAGGATGTATCATTTTTCTATTCGTAATTCGTATCTAGTAAGGCCTATTTTCTGAAAAAGAAAAAAAAACTCAGCGTAGCAGTTAAATATTTTGTACTTATATAAATGATTGATTTTATATACAATAGTCTTATAGATCAGCATCATAACTTTTTTTTTTTTTTATCTAAAGTGCTGAAAATACTGGTGGCTGTGGGCTGTGGCTACTTCGTGTTTTGTTAATGATGGGAAAGTTAAAAAATAATATAAAAAAAAGTTACAAAGTGTTCATGCAGAAGATATATCGATAATCTTCGAATCTTTGTCTAAATAGTCTTTATCTTTTCTAAGGTGGATGGTTCTTAGATTTATATGTTTGACGAGAAAATGGTATCAAGTTACTGTTCGATTTTAGACAATTTCAAACGATTATTTTTTCTTGTAAATATTTGTGCTAGTTTAATTGGACTTGAACTAATATATTAGGCTCATCAAATGTCTTTATATTCTTCTTATAGTTTTTTTTTACTTCATGAATTTATATAATTTGAAGACTCTTCGATATTATCTACTAATCTCACCTTCCATATAAGAGATATGTAATTTATTTTTGATAAATAATAATTTTTTTATTTAAATTAATGAAATAAAATTATCAAATTATCTTACATTAAAAAATAGAAGTGTATATATAGTTACAATAATAAATAAAAAATATACATGTCTTAATACGCAACACTAATAAATATTCTTTTTAAATATTACTATAGATAATATAAAATTTATATATATATATAAGAGATATGTAATTTATTTTTGATAAATAATAATTTTTTTATTTAAATTAATGAAATAAAATTATCAAATTATCTTACATTAAAAAATAGAAGTGTATATATAGTTACAATAATAAATAAAAAATATACATGTCTTAATACGCAACACTAATAAATATTCTTTTTAAATATTACTATAGATAATATAAAATATATATATATATATATATATATGAATGAGAAAGGTTATAATTCAATTTTTATTTATTATCTAATTCAATTTTTATTTATTATAATTATTTATGAATTAAATTCTAATATTTTCACAATAAATTATCAATTATTAAAAATAATCTTATAAAATAATATAACTTTTTATCATAAACTTAAATTTTTCTATATTTAAAATATTTTGGTTATATAAATTCTAAATATAATTTATAAACTTAATTTCTTTTACCAAATGAGAATATTTCCAATTCATCCATTAATCTCTTTGAGACTTTGATCTCATTAAAATTATTCCTCCTCACGTCATTTTTTTATATCAAACCTTTATATATTTAAACATAATATTTACTTGTTTATAATTCATTATAAATTAAATGTTATACATCAAATATTTTACTCATGAAATACACACATATTAAAATACTAATATTTTCGTGTTTTTGGCTATAAAATTAAAATCCTCCAAACTTGAATTCAATTGGGTACTATGAAGCTGTCGGCGGAGAGTACATGGCCTACCCCACACACACACCTTTGACCCAAACCACACCATTTATTAATATGTTTATATATGCTCCCTCGCCTCTGTTTCTAAACAACAAAAACAAAAACAAAAACAAAAACAAAAACAAAACTAGAAACTAAAAACATGGCAGCGGTGGCCGGAGCATCCTCGTCGCTGATTAACGTGGTCGCGCTTTCTGGCTCTCTCCGCAAAGGCTCTTATAACAGAGGCCTCATTCGTTCTGGTTAGTGAATCCTACCATACACTTTAATTCACTCTATTTTTTTTTTTTTAATTTAATTTGGTGTTTGACGTGTTGGGTTGAACTTGGTGATAGCGATTGAGCTAAGCAAGGGAAGCGTTGAAGGCCTTCAAATTGAGTACGTTGATATTTCACCTTTGCCACTTCTCAACACCGATCTTGAGATAAATGGGACCTACCCACCAGAAGTTGAAGCCTTTCGCCACAAGATTCTTGCTGCTGATTCCATTCTTTTTGCTTCCCCTGAGTACAATTATTCAGTCACAGGTATCACCATTTCTTGCCCCCTTATGTTCATATCTTTGGAAACAACATATGCATAATGGGTCAAGCTTTTTTTTTTTTTTTAATTTGTTGGTATTTAGAAAAACTCAAGTCCTACATTGACTAAAGATTATCGATTTTGTAGGGTTGAGTGAAGCTCAAATCCACTGTTCTATGAATTGGTAGAGGAGTGCTTGTCATACACTAAACTCTATTTGATACTTTCTTTCCAACACATTTTTTTATTGGTCATTTGTTAAAAAAATAAATTTTGTGGGTGTAGAATGTCATTTGATTTAATGAATCTCTCCTAATATTCAATGGTCAGAGTAATATTTGTGAATTTTAATTAATAATGAGTGCAGATAACAATTTTATAGTTAAAAATAAAAATTAACTGGTCATAACAAAATAGTATATTTATTTAAGTGGAGATAACTCAATTCTTATGTCATGAGCTTTGAGGTTGAATTAGTCTCAAATCTATAATTTAGATTGGTATCAGAACTTATGTTTACGAGTTATATGTAATCAAGTCGTTGTCTTATGTTCACGAATTGCTTCTACAGTTGAATATGGTTGGATCATCTTTCTGATCTCATGCGATGAACACCTAAAGGGTGTACAAGAATCATTTTATGTTAAACAATGACAGGATGACATAAACAGAAAGATATATTTTTCTTATCAGTTTTAATGAAGGAGTATGATAAATAGTTACTGCGACCATTTATTTATATTGAGAATAATTGTGTCCTTAGATATGATCATACCTTATTACTGAATAATAAAATGCATACTTTCATGTATACTGAAGCTCCTCTAAAGAATGCAATTGATTGGGCTTCAAGGGCACCAAATGTTTGGGCTGGTAAACCCGCTGCCATAGTAAGTGCTGGAGGAGGCTTTGGTGGGGGAAGATCACAATATCATCTTCGCCAAATTGGAGTATTCTTGGATCTTCATTTCATCAATAAACCTGAATTCTTCCTCAATGCATTTCAGCCACCAGCAAAGTTTAACAGTGATGGTGACTTGATTGATGAAGATGCCAAGAATAAGTTGAAGGATATCCTTCTGTCATTGAAGGCATTTACCCTTAGACTTCAAGGAAAAAATTGAAACAACTCATTCCCAAAAATTGTTGAAATAAGCTTTGGATTTAGGAATAATAGTGTGATTCGAACTCTCTATGACTGCATGGCTACTGTGATATGCAGAGACAAGAGAACGTATTTGTTTTAACATTTGGAATATTTGTTTGTATTGCCGTGTCTTGGTTTGTATGTTCACCATTGGTTTTGAGTAAAATCTGCAAAGTTTAAGGGTGTGTTTCGAAATTAGTTGAGTCCAATTCAATTGGGATTTTAAAAGAAATTTTGTGTTTTTTATTGACCATCATTTTAAACTGATATGTAAACATGTACTATGTCATGTTGTTAAATAATCTCATTACAAATTTGTCTTTCCACAACCACATGAGTTATCCCAAGATGCAGTTGTCACTAATGTTTCTGATTGAAGAAATGGTTGAATATAATGCTAATAAACAACCCTTTACTTTTATCTTTGTCGTTTACACTTTGCACACAAAAGTTACACCCCATCATTCAAAGACAAGTAATGTCAGAGCCACTTGTACTTGCAGAGCCCATCATTTCCTTGAAGTTGTGGACTACATGTATACCCATAACCATTTCTGTAAAAGTCAAAAGAAAGAGAATGATGACACTTCCACAGTTCCTGCACTAGATGTCATATGACATGAGCCTTAATCGTCAACTTTTTAAAAAAATTTAAACCGAATCATTTCAATCTATTTTATAAAAGTTAATTGCTTAATTGATTTGCTTTTTATAAAATAGATTGCGTAACGAACTGTCGTGGTCGTCACATTACAAAACAACACTATATACTATTAAAATATATATATTAAAATAGTATAATAAAATATTTACAATACAAGTTGCTAATCAAGCAATCAACAACAATCATTTATATACAACAAAGTATACTACTATAAAGTAGCCTATAAAAAAATTCATTTCCAGCCTCTAGCAGCTATCTCCTAGCCTATCATTGCCCTGCTCCCATACAACGTATGATCATCACAGTGCAAACCACATAGAAACATGCAAGGATAAGTTAGAGACAATAAACAACTCATAAATATCAAATATGAAACACAACTATATAATCATCTTCATATCCAACACAAAAGATAAACAACACATATATTATACATCTTAACATCATTTCAACTTGATTCCACATATCAACGCTGTATCAACACCTTAACGCAACTTACAACATAACAACACTATCATCATCCTCAACAGGATCAACATACGACACAATCACAGCTTAACAACATAACAACATAGATACAACTCTTATCAACAACAAATCAACTCATCAACAACTTATGCGTCGTCACGCATTTTAACTTGGAGATCTCCAACAATTGAGGTTGAGCAGTCTAGGTGGAATAAACCCTACCGAATCTAGCGTTTGACCTATCTCAACCAGGTCAGGTATAGAACAGCGTTAGGAACTCCGAAGAGAACCAGGTATAGACAACAATAGGTGATTGCTCAGGTGTGCCACTTAGACTCGGAGGTCCAGTACTACTGTTAGGACAGAAGGGTTTGGGTATGAGACTACCACGGCCTTGGCTAGCATCACCAATCCACATATGGAGTTAGCTCACCCACTGTCCTCCAAGTAGCACGCACCCTCCAGTACCTAGTCAAAGACTACATCTCTAACTAGATACCTTACTCAAATTGGTCATTCAACCATGACATGGATCGACTACTTCCATGTCGCCCACACAGTACTAAGGGATTCAACTTTAAAACAACTTTCAACTTATCTCCTTAGTACTATGTATCTCAACATAGGACATATATCTCAACATAGGACATATATCTTCACCATATGTCCCCAACTTTTCAACTTTATAACAATAAACATCTGGCCACTTGTAATCGATATAGCTCGGCCTGGCCCCTATACCGTGGTCGCTTTGTACACGTGTGCCTCGACCTTGCCCACACATGGGATCAACTAAGTCCTAGAGGGGAACAACACAACGTCCACTCCAAGGGACAACTTCCCAAGGAGGGTTTTTCAATAAATTGGGCTCTCAGAGCACCACAATTATCTCAATCCACACAATGGGATGAGCAACTTTGAAAACATCTCCCCTAGTCCTAGTGATAAACAACTCATCATCACAGCTTTACAGCAATAAGCATCTTAACAACTTCACAGCAATAAGCATATTAACAACTTTACAGCAATAGGCATCTTACAACAATAGAAAACTTACAACAATACAACAATAGGCATTATATACCAGCTTGACAACTTCTTATTCAATTATACAACTATGCAACTTTAATAATTCTAAAACATGCAAATAACTTAATTAAACAACTATAGTCATTACAATATCAACTTAATGCAACTTAACAACTTTATAAACAACTTCAGCAATATACAACATATTTAAAATTCATCTATCATGTCAACTTACACAATATAAACAACATAAATCAACTTAAGCACCCAACAACTCAATTATTTCAACAAAAGAACACCATGCATTAAGTTTCCCTAAATCTCTTGAAATTACACAACCTATATTCTAGTTTCTCTCACCTGAAGATTGACTCAGAATAGCCAAGAACTGAGAAGAAGTTAAATTTCTTTTCTGAAGCTCAACCCGGGACTTCAATCCACCCAAAGCAAGCTTCCTAGTCCAGAGTCATTCTCTTTAAAACTTCTCTCTAAAAACCTCTCATTCTCCTCAACTGCACAACCTCTATTTTATAGAAGTCTGAACTGGCCAGAGCGCCCGTTCCAAATTTGAAATGGCCCGTTCTGGGCTCCTTCATCATGTGTAAAATTCACATGCAGAACGTCCCGTTCTGAAATCGGAACGGCCCGTTCTGGCACGTCTAGAACGACCCGTTCTAAAATCAGAACGGCCCGTTCTAGAGTTGAATTTAACTCACAATGACCACTTTGGAACGGCCCGTTCCAGTCCAAGATTCACATGTCTATTTAGTAGTTTGGAACGACCCGTTCCAGTTTGGGAACGGCTCGTTCTGGGCTATTGAATCACCCTTATTTTAGTAGTTTGGAACGACCCGTTCCAATTTGGGAACGCCCCGTTCCAGTCTACTAACTACGTTACAGATTGGATCAATTTTTGATCTATTTTATAAAAATTAATTGATTAATTAATTTGTTTTTTTCTTTTATAAAGTAAATTGAATCAATTTTTTTTGAATATGAGTTAAATTTGTTAAAATTGAATCAGTTTAATAGGATATAATTATCTATTTTAGATTTATATATAGATTAATTTTTTTAAAAAAAAGATAAAACAATTCACTTTATAACAATGGATTGAGCGATGAAAATGATTTTACAAAATAGATCGGTTTAATTTTTTTTTAAATAGATTAAAATTTTTAACATGAATCAATTTGATTATGAATCGTTTTAAATGGGTTTGAAGTTTTTTTAAGCACCTAAAAAATTCAAACAATACATAAAAGCATTTTGGCAAACATTTCCTAAAATAGACGACAGAAACCCGAAACAAGTGATTGTGCAATCTTACCACATTTGGTTCAGAGAGAGAGGCATTCGTGATGTAATGTTTGGCCTCGACTAACAATGGACTATATTATGCTAACAACTCAACCCAACTTGGCCTGTGACCAAAGTATAATCTAAATGTGTTTGAAATTAAATCCAGAATATGGATCATTATTCAATTATTTTTTTTTACAAAATTGGCCCTCTCTGAAGCTTTTGATATGTAGCCCTCATCTAAAATGACATATCAAATTGGCCTTCATTCCCTATTTCAGTGTGAGTTTGGGATTACTTTAATTTTATTGTAAATATTTTATATACAGTTTAGAATTCAGGTTCTTTAAAATCAAATTATAAATTGACATTTTTTTAAAATTTAAAATTTAAAATTTATTTTAATTTTTAAAATTTAAAATACTTTTTAATTATAATTATAATTTTTTAAAATTTTTCATGTACATTAGAAACTCTTTAAATTAATACTCGGTAAATTAATAAACTCTCTAAAATAATAAATTTGTCCGGTCTCGACTTGGGTCAATGTAAAAAATTGAAAAACTCGATAAAATAATAAGATAATAATTTTTCGGGAGATCCCTTTATAATTTTCGGTCCCAAGAAAATCATAAATTATTAATTCATAGAAACTGAAAAAAAATATATTACACTCTAACACATTCATGTAATTTATATATGCCAAACTTGCTTATGAATACATTGAACACATTTGTTCCTCTTGTTTACATTTACTGTACTTCAAAAGTCATTATTGATTTCCAATGCATATGTACTTAAAAAGTCATTACGTATTGATTTTCAATGCATATGTACTTCAAAAGTTACTAATTTACGTTGAGTCCCAAGGTTCGCTGCAACGTAATTCTAAGAGGCATAGACTAATTTGCCTTTTTATTTGGTATGTACAATATAATTACTTAAAAACTCTTTAAATTAATAATTATTAATTTATTAATAAATTAATAACTCTCTAAATTAATAAATTTCTCCGGTCCTGACATTATTAATTTAAAGAGTTTCTACTGTATCTATTTTTTGAAATGATTTTTTTATATATATTTTAACTTGTATATTTTTGATGATGGAATTAATTAATAATTATATAATTTGTCAATATAATAAATCATACATTATAATAAAGTATTAATATTAATTTTTATTATTTAATTAATTTTGTTATTTTTGATAATAAAACAATGTAAATACAACGACAAAAGTGATTACATTTGAATTGGTGTGATCTGATCTATTGATTTTGTTGTTGCAATCTTTATAGTTATGTTTTTTGTCGTAAAAGATGAAACTATATAAGATTCCTTATGTGTAATCATGTTTGAATTGATGCAATTTGATTTGTTGATTTTGTTAGTACAATCTTAATCATTACTTTTTCTGTCGCAAAAGAGGAAGTTGTTTAAGATCAATTTGTCAATTCTCAAAATTTTATAACATCTAGTTCAAAATATTTCATTGAAAATCTTTTTGGTACTTCCCTCGCAACACCTCAACCAACACACTCATACCTTTAGAATTTGTACTCAGCCACCATTCCAACCAGTAGAGGGTGGTAGTTCATCCACATCGTATACCAACAATTTTGATTCACCAAGTTTAGTTTTACATATTAATAGTCAAAACTACCAAATTGAGCAAAATAATGATAGTTGCACTGACAAATAATAAGGATAACAACATCATCAACTAAGACGTAACTCAACACGAATTAAGAGGTCATGCCTGTGTGGAACTAGACACCATTATGGGATTAAACATGCATTATAATTTATGTCACTGTAATTTTAATATTAATATTATGATTGTTAAAAATATCACTCGTAAAAAGCTAAAAGTATGTGATTTTAGCCAATTATATTAAGACTTTTGGGCTAATTCAATTAAGTCTAGTCATTTCATTGTATTTATTGACTTGAATGCTAATGAGATCAATCGATTTTTCATCCTAAACAAGTTGAAACTATATCAAATTACATGCTAAAAAAATCATCCCATGAAAAGCTAAAACAATGTGATTTTAGCCAAAATATTTTTTTTCTTCCATTTTTAGCAAATTATGATAACATTTTCTTAATCGATTTAACTAATTTTAGTCATTCCATTGTATTCATTGACATAAAACTATCAAGATCAACCAATGTCATATCCAAAACAACTTAAAATGATACAAATTTATATACTAAAAGGTTACCCGTAAAAAGTTAAAACGTGATTTTTGCCATTTTTTCATTTTAACTAATTATAGTAACATATTCTTTATCGATTCAACCAAATTAAGGTATCAAATTACATTCATTGACATGAAAAGTATCAAAATCAACCAATGTCAAAAAAGTTGAAAGATATCAAATTATATGCTACATATTTATTTAAAAATAATATCAAATTTTATATTATTTATTCAAAAACTAAAAATAATATGGAAGTGGACTCTTTTTATGTGTATTTACGTAAATAAAATGAAAATTTGTATATATATAAGTATTTTTTTAATTGTTTATATGTGAAAAAAAGTAGCGAAATTCACACCCTTAATAATGTTAATATAATATTTGTATATATAATAATGGGGACTAGGGTAAGAACTTGATGCTCTAACAAGTGACCCACCAAGTTCCTATGCCTCCGAACGAAGCAAATTGTATAGTTTGGTAAAGAGGCTAACAAACTCATTCTTTAATGAATTTTTTATTTTCCAAAAAGAAGGGACATTAATCAAGAATTTAGTATGTGGAAAGTTCAAATTTTTATTAAAAAAATTTGTGACTGCAATTCATTATAAGAGTTCATTATTAATATTCCTTTTTAATCTTTTTTTTTTTTTGTCTTTTCTATGTGTGCGCCCAAAAGTGTGGGTAATTTTATACTTAAAAGTCAAATCCATCGTTATAATAACAATTATAAATTTGTTTTCGGTGGAAAAACAAACATATAAATTTATCAACCATAACATATAAAATTCAAAATACAAACGTTGGCAGCCTAAATTTATTCTTTTGCCTTTATCGCACGCAGCCTCCACCAACTGCAGGCAACAAATCTTTTAATATAAAATTCTCCGAACTTGAATTCAATTTAGTACTATGAATCTGACGGGAGAAATTCCATATAAAAGAGTGTTGTTAAATAATGACAGGAAAAAAAAAATGTTCTATTTCAAATCTTAAACTCTTGTAGGAGTAAGCATGACCTAGTCCAAATCGCTAACCTGACACGGTCATAAGTTGATTTGGATATGTTTAAACTTTGAAATTAAATCAAGTGCGTTTTTAATATGGATTTAAAATACATTTTAGGTTATCCAATTTTTTTTTTTAATTATAGTGCATTAGTATTAAAAATTTAGCAGTACTTTTTATAATATGGTTTATATTTATAATGCAATTATTTATTTTAAAATATTGTAAGTTATACTTAAATTAAGTTTTGTATTTTTTTTATTTTATAATTTAATTATGTATAATGTTAAAATTAATATAGTATAATAAAGTTAAATCAACCTAATCTTGTTTATATATTTTTAAATTTTGATTAAGTAAAGTTTTCACTTTAAAATTTGGCCCAAACAAAAGTTTAAGTTGGGTTTGGACAAGGATAAACCTTGCCCGGTTCAACCCATGTTTACTAGTTATTTCTAAATTCTCCATTTATCATTTACCAATTTTATTGGTGTTAGTATATAATCTTTGATGGGGATCATCTTTATCTTTCTCATAAAAATCTAATAATAAGTAAAAATGATATATCATGATTTTGTTTTATAAACTTAATAAAATCAGCTATTATAATTATTTGTACTATTTCATATGATTTTTAGTTAAAAATATCTTATAATAAAAATTGGTGGAGTGACATATCAAATTATTAAAATAGTATTGTAGCTACAAATTTACTTTCCAATTACATTTGAAAACACATGGAAAGACTCCCCACCCTAGGAGTGCTTACCTCTTCTTCTATATATGAGATCGAATTATCTAATTTTTTTTTGGTAAAGTCGAATTATCTAATTTACTAATATTAAAAAAATAATTAATATAATTAATGATAATAAATTTGTCTTATATATGATTTTTTCTTCTAAAATTACCCTTATACAACTTCTATTTTCTAATTAATACTAATATATCTTGTAACCAATTATAATACATGCTATACATATTATTTATGTTTCTTTATTAATATTCATCTTTCATCTATCCGATTAAAGAGCATTCTTTTAAAAATAATTATAACTACTATATTTTACTAATTAAAAATATTTTAATTTAAAAATAATCCATACATAAAATAATTTAAATTAAGTCTTATATAAAAAAATTAGTTATTTTAAATTAGTCTTATATAAATAGGAACTAAAACGATTATTGTTAATCTTTGTTCTTTCTCATCCATATATAGCATACCCCACTGGGCATCTTGTCTCCCAAGAATCGAAAAAAAAAAACAAAAAAAAAAAAAAACAAACTTTGACCCTTCTATTTATTACTCCCAATCTATTGTTCCAACACAAGAAAAAGAACACATAACATAACATAACTAGAAAACATGGCATCGGTGATTAAAGTTGTCGCTCTTTCTGGCTCCCTCCGAAAAGCCTCCTACAACACAGGCCTCATTCGCTCTGGTTGCTTCCTAAGATTATTTTCTCTTTCTATGTCTTTTTTTTCTTGAGTAATCATAGTATTAATGTTTTTTTTGAATGATATATTTAATGCGTGGAAATAGAAAACTAATACGTGTTATGTTACACTTGGGGTTTGAGTTTGATAGGTATTGAGCTAACGAAAGGAGACGTTGAAGGCGTGGAAATAGAGTTGGTTGATATTTCGGGTTTGCCTTTTGTAAATACTGATCTTGAGAAAGATGGGAGTTGGCCACCAGAAGTTGAAGCCTTTCGTCATAAGATTCTCGCAGCTCATAGCGTTCTCTTCGCTTCCCCAGAGTACAATTACTCTGTTTCAGGTCAGTGCCTCCCCAACTCCATAGTTATTTTTTTTGTTGTTTAAGTTTTTGAGAAAAGGGATTAGGTTCTGATCGGTTTAAAGAAGAGAAGGGAAGGAAAGAGGGAAGTGAAAGAGAAGAGAGAAGGCACAAGTTTTACTTGTTTTTTTTTTTTTTTTTTTTTGGTAAAAATAAAAAAAAAAAAAAAAAAAAAAACCACCAC